ACACAACTCTGATTGTGCGTAAGCATTAATTTATAGACGTGCGCATTATCTATATAAGTGAGTGACGTGTAGATGAGTGACGTATAAGATGAGTGACGTGTATAAGCCACACTAACGCAATACATTTTCTCAAAACAATCCACAGATTTCAGCATCGATTCAATTCGATCCAAGTATCGGGAAATAAAGCAAAACGGTGTACCATTCTGTAATACATGTAGACGGGTGCATCATTTCGGTATATAGATATAGCGGGTAAATTGTAATTTTACCGGTATGTTGAACTCCTAACGAAGGTGTTGACCAAAATATTGCCGATTCCTGAAGTCAGGTGACATTATGTCCCTGATGCAAACAGCAAAAAGTCCACTGTACCAGGATATAACTAATTGTTAAGTCCCGTGAGCTTGCTCACCGTTTAACTAAGACATCCCGGGGTACCAACCGAAACATGGTCCACAAACAAAACCACCCCGCGTGCGTTCCACGCTCGTCCATTATACGGCTGATATTGATTCCAGTTTCAAATGGCTTCCTGAAAGGCCATCGCTTCCACCCTCGCCATGCACTCAATGCGAATGCGTCAGTCCGCATCCGGTCCCTGTCATGCTCCACTGCTCATCCCACAGCGCATCGCCCATCTCTTCATCAACATCCATCTCTCTAGCAGCATGTATTTCTGTACCAACATTCATCTGCCCACCAGCAAGCATTCGGGAGCATGACAGCATTTGTCTCTGTACTGACATCCAGCTCTGATTCTGCACATGTCTCTTCACCAACATCTCCCTCTACGTCAACATCTATCTCTGCACCAACGTCTATTCTCACATCAACATCTATCTCTGCATCAACATCTATTCTTACATCAACATCTATTCTTACATCAACACCTATTCTTATATCAACATCTATCTCTGATTCAACACCTATGCTTACATAAACATCTATCTCTGATTCAACACCCATTCTTAATTTCTTACATCAACATCTATCTCTGATTTAACACCTATTCTTACATCAACACCTATTCTTGCATCAACACCTATTCTTACATCAACACCTATTCTTGCATCAACACCTATTCTTACATCAACACCTATTCTTGCATCAACATCTATCTCCGATTTAAAACCTATTCTTACATAAACATCTATCTCTGCATCAACACCTATTCTCACATCAACATCTATCTCTGATTCAACATGCATTCGACAAGAATCGATATCTTTCTCGGTATCAGTACCCGTCTCCACATCTATATCCAAACAACAATCATCACATTCACGTTCCTAAATATACCGAGGTCACTGACAACATTGATCTTTACAATACCATTTACCTCTCCATTAACATCCATTGCTACACGAACCTCTTGCTCTTCAACAATAACCACCTCTGCAAAACGGACTGCACTACGACACCAGCATACATCTCCCTTATAACATCCACCTCTGCATCAAAACCTGTCTTCCATCAAACATCCCCTTTTGCCATGATTCATCTCGTATCAACATCAACAGCCCCCCCCCAACGTCCCCCATCTCCCCAGCTACCTCTATCCCTTTTTCTAGCTGTGTCTACCTCTTCATTGGTCAAAAGACATCAAGTGCAAAACTGGGTCAGCAACAGTACATGTAAAGGTGACGACAACGTCGTCTGCATGTGACGATGCACTACGTATGGATTTCGTCCCCGCCTGGTGGCCTTTTCATTACGTCGTCAAGGTGACCAAATATTTGCGGACGTCCGTCAGCAAACATGGCGGCTTGTCGGTCCCACCCGATAATTATTCGCACGTGTTTTTTTCCCCGCTCTCCAGATTTCCGATCATCAACTTTTTGTCTTGTCCAATTCATCTTCGTGTTTGTCCGCCGGTCATTGTGAGTCGGCGATGGTCGTCGTGGGATCAGCGAGAAAGCGAGACGTCATCATCATTGCCGAGACGTCGCTCGATAGCGTGGCTCTCGCAATGCGGCACAGTCGTCCGCCAGCGCCCGCTCTCGAGAGCAAACACCTGCTGAGATGTTAACGTTTATGAACAAACAGCGGCCGTCGCCCAACACCGACCGACGTACTGTGACGCACGCAGCGCATATCTCGCTATCGGAATCGAAACACGGTCAGAGAAAAACACACAGTGCTGCGCGAACGCGACTCATGCATACCAAGAAGCTGCATCGCATGGGTTGAGGGGTGAGATTGAGTGCCCACCGCGCGCTGTTAGGGCCGCCTGCCGGTCGGTGGTGACGTCAGGCGCGGCTGATCTGTCGCCGCGTTTGACAGGGCGATGTTTGCCGACAGCCTCCGGTGTCTGCACACACGGACACATAGAGTTTTGCGAAAATGATCCGCGCTCCAACGGAAAACCCATTATTTTTGATACTCCCGGCTTCATTTACATGCAAACACTCGCAGGGTCGTGCGCGCGCGGGGTGGGAGGGGGGCGGCGCGACCCGGCCTGCCCGCCGGCGCCCTCTCACAGGACCGATCGAGCTTGTCGCGAGACGCGGCGTGTTCGCCGTTACTGCGCGGAAAGGCGACGCCGAGGTTTCGAGGTGTGCGTGTGACGACGCCGTTTACTACGTCATTATACGCGCGTTTATCTTCCCGCTAAGACCCGACGGCTGCCCCTACATGCGCGCACTGATTTAGTCCTAACGCAACTGCAGCGAGGGATCGAGGGAGAAAAAACTGCAGACCGCGCATTTTCCACACATGGCGGCACTCCGAAATGAAGTTGCTTGCGAAATTGTCCAAGGGACTTATTCCAGATGCATCCGCGCTTTATCCGCTGCGGCTGCCTCCTCGGCCCCCCAACATTCGGTGACCGGGGTGGGGGTGGGGTGAATCGAACGTCATCAGGCTGTAAACATTCACCGGCCAAACGGACGGACATGGTCTGATAAAGCCGAACGATTTTTTCCCCCAACTTGTCTTTCTGATGAGAAAATCTCAATTGCATCAGATCGCGAGGCGCAGGCCCTGCATGTGCAGTCAGCCAGTACACCAGCGATCTGCACATATTTAGACACGGGAGAAAAAGTAACGACGGCCTCACGGAGCTGTTTCACATCGAAAGTGTCCCTGCCAAGTCCACAGATGCCCAACGACCCCCCCCCAAACAGACTTGTGCCGTAAAGAGGGAAACCACGTGGGACTGAGCACTGGGACTGACGATCCCACTGACGCCGTCCTCCTAACCGCCTCTGATCACCGCTGCACGTCCCGCGAGCAGTTGCCGAGTATACGCGATGCTATGCTGTGGCGCAAACTTAGTGCGAATCCTAGAATTCGCACGACGTCGCGTGTCGAATTCTATTTCTACGTCTCACCGCTGTCTGCGGTAATCGCCGCGGATTAACCCCCACGTCACGGCCGGGGAGCGAAAACGTCCGCCGACATTTTGCTCGAATGGATGAAGACACTCGTAGCCTACTGGTACCCTAGAGGAGCGCGAGGAACGCCGTGAGACTAGCGACCAGTCGCACGTCGTCGTCATCGCTCCCCCGATCGCTAATGTATCCCTAACAAGCTTGTAAAAGGTCACCTCTCGAATGCTGGTGGCCGGCGCGCGAGAGCGGCCTCGCTTGATTTTAATTACTGCACTCCGATTACTTTCATTTTGCCTTGCGTTCACTTCACGGCGCCTAATTACTGTCGTACGAGCCTGCACGTAGCCTATCCAAATCGCTCTTGCTGCCTCTCTCTCTCCCCCTCTCTATCTCACTCTCTCTGCCTGACTGTCTCTTTCTCTACGCTGCACTGATGAGGATGCTGAAGCATCGTCCGCTCTCTCTCAAAGTGACCATCTCGATGACAGCGCTGTCGCTGCCACCGCCGCAGCAACTCCTGTCTCACAGAACCGCCAATTAGGCACAGACTAGAGGTAGACGTAGCGAGAGGTTGAGAATGCAACGTTCGACAATGTGGAACTCTTGTTGTCAATTTAGGAAATTGGGCTCAAATCTGCGCATGCGGAGATCGAACGAGCCACTCTGTAGCCACAATCGAAGAAGAAGAAGAAGCCGCAGAGCGTTCGCGCGCACCACCGATTCCAATTATGCGTCGTAAAGAAACGATGAAGGCAGCGACCGAATTAAAACAGGAATCTGAGAATGTTAGTGTCAGGAGTGGTCGGTGCTGTCTCAGCCACAACCCCGTCTTCAAGCTAACAGGACATTAAGGAAGGACTTTTTTAAGACTGCAGCAGAGACATAAGATGGATGAGCAGACCTACCATGGAGAAGCATTGCACAAGCCTAGGAAGGAAAGACTTCTTCCACGCAATTTCTTCCGCTTAGTCCAATTTCAGCCTAAAGAATTGCAGCTTACAAACACAAGTTTTTCGTTAACCAGCACTTGTAAGTTTTGATCTACATCTTTATTTCGTAATGCAAAATGTTGCATTAGAAACGAACTGTAGATCATCCATAACCTATTAGGCGTTTAAGGCATCGCAAATAACAAAGATGGCTAGCTCCGAAAATGTAGTGATTACTATATTCAACTTCACCCAACGAGGGAAAACGCCATAATGTCCTCATGACAATACTGTCCTAAACCTAGCATTGCTCCTACGCCTACCAAAAAGAATAACCTTATCTGCATTGCCCTTTAACACAAGCAGTTAACCTACCCCGGAATCATTTGCCCCTACATTCTAACACTAATAGTAACACTGCACCCCCGCCCCTCCTTATTCCTAACTTTGCTGCCTAATTTACCATTAGCAACAATGCTATCCCGACCTCTGCTACTGACCCAAGCACAAATAATGACCCAAACCATTCCTTTGCATATGCTAACAACACTAATGCTAACCGAAACATTTCTTATGCTCATCACAGACACTAAGCCTGCCTCCTTTGCCGCCGCCCTAATCCTGTTCTTGCCACCACTGCCCCTGCATTGTCCCTCCCTCATGCTAAGCATTCCTTCTTGGCTTCTGCTGCTAATACTAAACACTAACCCAGCCTCCAGCCCTTACCCATTCTCACCTCTCGCTTGATTTGTCCAGTAGTGGATGTAGATGTGGTTTTGTAAGCACCGTGTGTTGTCCGTGTTATTGCCTTGGACTCACTGTCCATTGTATCACCAAAACCACCTGCTGTCCGTCCGTGTCTTCATGAAATTGTCTTCCGTTTCTGCAATGGAAATGCCAAAAAATCAGTAACAACGGAGCCGTACACACATGCATCAACACACGCAGGCACACGCAGTGTTCATTGCCCCACCAAATCCAATTGATATCCGACCAGTAACTTTTTCAGCTCTTCTTTTTTCTGCAATGGCAATACAAAAATTTACTAAAAAAACAATCTGCATGCACAAACATGCTCTCCATTGTCCTGCCAACATCCCCAGACAGACAACTGTCTTTGTGAAACTGTCCTCCCTGTTTCTGCAATAAAAATGTCAAAATAGTTCAGAAGCCGTCCTCACTTACACACTCGCACGCACACACACACACGCACGCACGTGCAGCCGTGCAAATCATGATGAGGCGAGTTACACGCGGGCTCTTCCGCCGGCTTAATCCCGCGCACGTATTCATTACTGTCGCACCGCGCCGTTTAGACCCCGCAAAGTTCCATTCAACCCTGGCTTTCCATATTGGTCGTCTGAATGTGCTGAATATCCAATCGCGGCGCAATGTTCGCAAGCCGATGTGAGAGCGCACGTCGCCGCGGCGACGGCGATGTGAAGGCGTCGCACGCGTGCTGCCGTACGTGATAAACGTGATTTCGCCATGACGTTTTTTCGAGAATCGGGTGGACAAGGGACCGATCACCTGGACTCGGCTGCGAGAAGCTGTTGAATGAAAGAGTGAGGCAGCACGTCTACCGAAATACGTACACAAGTAACAGTTGTTAGCGTGGTACCTATTCACCCACAATAGCAATTGTGTTGCAGTCCAAGGGTTGGCGTTCCAAGGCGGCTCAGAACAACGGCGAGTCATCAATTATCAATGCGGTCCGCACTGAGGTGCTAATTTATTACTGGGGGCCGCTAATGAGGGATGGTAATGAGTGTGTGCGTGGCTTCTCTGGAGGTGATTATATGGACGCGGGAATCTGATGACGCGTGCATATCTGCTTCAACACCCACTCGAAATATGCTCGACTCACGTACATCACTTACTGCACCCCCGGGTGAAATTTTAATGACATGCAAAGTCAATAGCGATCACATCATCTCATCGTAATCCCTGCCCTAATGTGCGGGATTACATCATGGATATTAATTAAGTTCAGTTTTGAATTACCGGGGTGAGGCCAAGATGTGAGAAAACTGACATTTATTGCTCATTCAATTATAGTAAGGGTGACTGGAGTGATGGTTTATTAAGCATGCATCCACGCGCGTCGGGAGGGTAAGAGGGCAAGTGATGTGATTTATGCAGAACGGGGACACGTGTTTCATTATTTCAATGCTAGTGAAATATTAATTAAACCCCACCATGACAGCGCGTGAATGCATCATTTTCCATACTCCTACTCCACCAGCTAACGACGTAGAAGCAGGCGGAATGGGTAGAAAATCACACGGTTCTTGTAAGCCTTTGATTTTCGAAGAACGGTTTTATAATTAAACAGCAAACAGTCATAAACTGTAAACTATTGGCACAAGGGGGCAATAAATCATTTAGCAATCTGCTGATTACATGCGCGGCACGTACTGGGTGGCTGGCGATCTGAATATATATATCAAGCTACGTTCTTAACATAATGCACGATACCTAGGTTTCAAATGCAGCTACAGGCTAATTTCAGAGGGTAAGTACGTATACGAGGAGGTGAGGCTGTCCGCTCGCTAAGTGTCAGTACCCAGTGATCAACACACGCGACCTCGCCACGCTGGCGACCTGTTTAGGCTATGATGTAGGAAACGATGTCAATCGACTACGAGTATTACTTGCACGCACGCACGCACGCACTAACGCACGGCCACGTGCACCCGCGCACGCAGGCGCAGTCACTGAAGTTATGAATTCCTTCGACATGACACTGCATCTGTTATTGTGATGGCTCACGGTGACTAGCAATCATAGGGTACACATAGACTCACGAAGCTCACAGCGCATCTGGAATGGAAACTCGTGTGAAAGAAGGGGGTGATATAGCCAGTGAGGAGAAGGCCACGTGAAAGCTGTGAGCGAGAGGAAAGACGTGAGCACAGCGGATGAGACGAGACACATGAGCGAGGGGCAGCAGCCGTGTATATAACACAACATAACATAACATATAAGTATCTATAAAGGCATATATCAGAAGTAGAAACATTAAGTATTGTAGTATTATGTATATTATTAGTGGTATATGATAACACAGAGTCACAGGTATGTGGAGCAGAAAAGGTAGACTGTAACACAGAGAGAGAGAGAGAGCGCGCAGAGAGAGAGAGAGAGAGAGAGAGAGAGAGAGAGTGAGCAGAGACGGAGAGAGGAGAGAGAGAGAGAGAGAGAGAGAGAGAGAGGAGAGAGGAGAGAGGCGAGAGAGTGGCGGAACCCGGGGAGAGTTGAGAGACGTGAGAGACCTAAGTGAGAGCGTTTGGAGCAGAGAGTTGGAGAGAGTGATAGAGATGTGAGGAGATTTATGATGGAGAGGTGTGACTGGACGATGAATTTGAGAGTGAGAGAGTTGGGTGACGAGAGTGAGTTGCCGCATCCTGTTGCGTGGCTGGGGGCGGCGCCGCGGTGGTCCCCGGTGGAGTGCGTTTGAGAGCGAATTGAGGAAATTGGGAGAGTACGGAGAGAGAGAGGGTTTTGTGAAATAGGAGAGACGAGCAGAGAGAGATTAGAGACGAGAGAGAGAGAGAGCGGAGAGAGAGAGAGTGACGAGAGAAAGAGAGAGAGAGAGAAGAGGAGAGAGATAAGGGAGGAGAGATGGTGGGTCGAATCAGAGGTTGTGGAGAGAGGCGAGGAGGGAGATCGAGAGAGAGGAGAGGAGCTGAGAGTTGAGGAGGAAAGAAGAGAGGGGGAGAGGAGGGAGTGACGAAGGACGCGAGGAGAATGGAGACTGGGGAGAGTGAGAGAGTGACAATAATAGATAGAGGTGGAAAATAAATGAGACAGATGAGCTATAAGAGGAGGAGAGGGCAAATGAGCGAGCGTGGACGGTGGGCATGCATTCATAGACTCTGACAAGTGAGGGGGGGAGAGGGTGGACAAGAAGGAGATCCCGCTTGGAATAGGGGGTCGATCCGCAGAGAGCGAATAGCACGGCCCACAGGACATGTCGCAATAACTGGATGATAGTTATTGAGTTACTCAATACATGTCAACATTACGCGAATGTTTCACAAACCCGCGGGCACTATAGGAGCTGAACTTGCGACCAAACAAATAGCCGTCGTATCGAGAGAGATTTCATTCTTTCAATCCATAAAGCACTTTCAACGCAAGGTGCGGCTTGAGGACATCTCTAACTAGTTCGTAAGCCTCTTCTTTAGTGTACACGTGGTACAGTCTGCTCTTCTTCTCTTAGCATCACACTCATTCGCCTTCACTGTTCCCAGACCGCTTATCCCATCCAGTACCCCCCAACTGGTGTCCTCTCCTTCTATCTTCTGTTAATTAGATCTACATCTTGTAACAACCCGCTTCCCCTTTGTCCTCACTTTCTCCATTCCTCTCTCCTAGAGGATACTGAGATATGTAGCATCACTACGTGTGGTACTAAGGATAATTTCCTGCGCGTTCTGAGGAACCGGTAACACTGTGTCTTTCTCTTCATCAATTTCGCTCTGCTCTTACTTCTCTCGCTTTTTCTCTCTTGACACAAGACTACACAGACTTAATTCTCTCTCTCACCCTTTGGCCATCACGATTTTCGTTGATTGACTTTCTCTCCTTAAAACTAGACAGAAATCAGAACGCACAGAGATACCTATCTGCCGTGCGATAATATCGTGAGGCCTCAGGGTGAAAGCGTTTCTTCTTCTTTCCGGAGTAGCGAGGAAATCTACTCCCGCTCCACGTCGGACCGGTTCTATCCTCGGGTGCAAGGCCATTGAGGAATTACGTTTTACCCAGCTCTTCGCTCTCTCGGACGCGAGAGGGATGTGATGAGAGGACGGAGAGGGATTTAGTGGCAGATTGGGGACCGGAACGTAATTTCTGAACAAGAATCAAAGCGAGCTCAACTCGCGCCTCTTAAAGCAAAAACGAACATCTGACACCTGGTGGTGGTGGCGTGGTTTGGATGGACTGATCAAGGAACTGAGAAAACTACCGGCGCGTTCAAGTTGCATCGAGACCGTCGTGCAGATTGCGGAATCGAGGAGAATGGCGCGCCGACACCTTCCGAGATCCCGAGCTTGCGAGGAGAGAGACACGATGGAGAGGACAAACAAGCAGAGACGAGATCACAAGAGAGTCAGGGTAGGGAGGAACATGCATGCGACGCGGAAGGAGCGAGACTCGGGCCGAGAGGATGCTGCCCAGATCAACGAACGCCAGAGAGAGCACCACGTAGTTATTGAGTGAGAAGAGAGCGCGATACGCGCATTGAACCATCAGGCCCTGTTGGCGAGAAGAGGATGAGCCACGATTTCGATTTGGCGATAATCCTAGTTCGCTGCGAACATAATAAATTTGCATGTGCTGTTCCC